TATATATATATATATATATATATTAGAAGCTTCTCTGAAGATATAAGTTCTATGTAATTGATTATTTTAAACATTATTTTAAAAAAATTTAATTGTGTCATTAGAATTAAAATAAATATCTTATTTATAGAAGTAAAAATATTTTTTATAAAAATATATATACATTTATGTGTGTGTAATTTATATATATACATACATATATATATAGTATATATATATATATATATATATATATATATATATACACATATATACATATATATATTTTTTTTATACAAAATATTTTTACTTCTATAGTAAGTAAGATATTTATTTTAATTCTAATAACACAATTAAATTTTTTAAAAATAATGTTTAAAATAATCAATTACATAGAACTTATATCTTGAGAGAAGCTTCTAAAAATATATTCTCTTTTCTTTTCATTACTAGCTTTTTTTAGTATGTTTTTTTATGCAACAATCCTCGCTGTTAAATATCATTATTATATCGAAGGTCATAATTTTTTTTATCAAGCAGAACTTGACGCAACACACAATCTTGTATTACGTCGGTCGCTATGCTAAAAAAAAATTTTTTTTCTGAGAAGTCACATAAAGCAACACATATATGTATATCTTTATCACACATGCATGAAAATAACGCTCGTCTAAGGAACATTGCACAAAAGACGCGCTAAGAAAGCAGAGGCGTATAAATTTGCGGGGTGATGCTTGAGATGTGCGCACCGATCGGAGTATCCCCTTTGAGGTATTCATCGAGAGAGGAAGAGCAACTTCCTCTCCGCTGCTCGTTCTACTTTCTAGCGTGGCATTAAACGAGGCGAACGAGAGTTTGATGGATGTCTCGCAAATACTCGGTTTCTAAGAAATTGATCGTAATCGTATACCTCAAAAACTTTAATCCTTCAGTAAGAATTATATAAAATCTGCGATTATACAAGCACATCTCTATCTTAAAGATGTCGCAAAAATTTATAGAAATTATAAAAATTTTAACTCTATTATTATGAAGTTTGCATAACATAAGCACTATGACGGAAATCAATTTACGTGACAAATTGCTCGTATTACAGGTACAAATTATAAATTAATATCAACTCGATATATTTTTAATTGTTTACACAATTATCATAACAAACAAACAAACAAATAAAATTGTGAAGCACAAGAAAATAATCGTGTAAGTAGAAATGTAAGTATTATAACAGATACATAAATGCATCTAACAATATTAATTTCATAATATTAATTCTTTATTAAAAAATTAGTTTCACAATTCTTTAGGAATTAAAATGGGACATGAAGATTTAAGAGACACGAGAATAGAAATTAGAATTGTTAAAAATGTTTAAGATCCATTGAACTTTAATTTATGTCATGTTTGTCTGCAATGGTCATATTATAATATATTTATACTGTATAAAATTGCATTATAAAAAAGTGTAATTTTAAGTATAATTTTATCGTAAACACGTAACTTTATATAATATTAACGTTTTTCTCTTACAATATGCGGATGATTGATCACCGTCACTACACCATTTCTATCTCTCTCTCTACGCATACATATATTTATACATATATATAGTGAGTATTCTACCATTCTATACATACATTCTCATATACTGTCATAAGCGTGCGCGCGCGCGTACACACACACACACACACACATACACACACATTCTCCGCTTCTCAACCTCCGATATTCCACAGCTTTGTATTCGATACGATATTCCCCCTTTCCCGTTGCAAATTGTAATTGTCTGTGTGCACATATACATATCAACACATCGAAGCCAAGTAACTCGACTACTCTGCATTTGCGACCCCTTCTACCCCTACAATCCACCTCTATACAGTGCGGGTGGATGGGTGGTTGGCTGCGTTTATGAGGCTGCGGGCCCGAAATTGAAAGGCATCCAGCTTCGTGAAGGGAGTTACGGGGAGGGGAGGGGAGGAGGGCATGCAGCAGTCACCGACAAGCGAAAGAGCGTATCAGAGGGTAATCCTATTGGTGGACGCCGGCGTCGCGACGTCCCGGCGTCATTGGTCCATCCACGATCCGCAGGGCGTGGCGACGTCGGTCTGGAGGGGTGGTTGTCGCATCCCTGGCAACGATTACCAGAAGGCAACCAGGGGTTCGCGCGACGGCAGGAATCCAGCATGGCGGCGACCCGGCAACCCCTAGAGCTTTCGCCAACCACCGCCGCGCCGCCGCTGCCACACCACAACGGTGCCCAGCATCGCGCGGCCGTTACCGATTGCCCGCGCACCTACTCTCGTAGATCTCGCTCGATTTGTCTGGGAGAACACTTCAGGAGTCGAAAGTTCGATCGCTCAATTAATTGCTCCGTTAGCATCTCCTTTTGAATGTTGATTCTACGGTGAAAACGATAGAGAATGCTCTATATTAGGTTTTTTATCGGAAAGGATTGTTTGGAATATTGATTTAGAAAAAAAAGAGAATACAATGTTAACAATGGTATAAGTATAATTTATAGTTTACGTGATTGTAGCAAGTAAATTGGCATTCTGTAGACACAACTATCGTTGATAATACACACTTAACTTTCTTTTCCATTAAGTTATCAAATAAAATTCTTTTGCCACCAATTACATAAAAATAAATCGAATAAACATTTTTTAAAAGTTCATTTAATCCAAGTTAAAAAGAAAATTATTTAACTCTTATCATCAAGTTCTGCGCTTGTAAATCCTTTGCTTGTAAATTCATATTTGACCAGCTTTCAGTTAGGGTACGATTAATCTATGATAGATCAAAAGAATCTTGGCTACCGTTCAGCACATCGTCACTTTTTATCCAGGCGAACCGATGCTGAAGCGACTTGGCAAAGAGAACTTCGCCGTCGCGTAGCCAACGATCAACAATTGCCCCGACGCGACGCTCAGGTAGGCGTCGTTCCTCGTGACAGCGTCTCTCGCTTTGGTAGGGGGTTAGTTTGGTCCGGGTCGTCGGGGGTGGGAGATACCAGGCGTCATCGGAGAGGATCGAAGGGGTCGGCGCAGGCGCTTCGTCCCGACGACGGGCGTCGTGGCGAGGCACCGCGTCAAACGTGGAGGCTATAGGTTAAATCCTCCCGCTCCTCGTTTTTGTCGTTTTTCCGGCGTTGCCTCCTGATCCCGCCTTCAAAAGTGCCGGCGGACCAATCGGCGCCGGGCGTTGCTCATCCGCTGCCTCCGACGGCACGGCAAGCGCCACGACGACGACGGCGACGGCGGCGGCGGCGGCGGCGGCGGCGGTAGCGGTGGCGGCGGCGACGACGACGCCGACGTCATCCGCGGGTAACGACGACTCGCCCGAGAGATCCCGGATCGGGATGCCGCAGACGTCATACGCCAATCCGACATCGACGAACGATCGTTCCGCCTACGCGCCGATCTCGAAGCGGAACGTCGATCGCAATAGCGCGTGAACGTTTATCCCCCGCTTGATTCTCTTCGCGGATCACCGAAATATCTCTTCTCACCGCGCGCGTTTAACCTCGCGGAATCGCGCCGGTCTTGATCGCGCCTCGTGACTTTAGGTTTCTTTGAAATTGTCCAAGTGTCGCATTTGCTGAGTATACCAGTCGTGATTGTTGAATTAGAGAACCAGACAAAACACAGATAAATCAAATTGGGCCGGGCGGTTCAACAATTTGGTGATAGAATAAGAAGGATAGAAAAATTAAGTGATTAGAAGTGACATACGTTTTACAGTGCGGATCTTGAATCTTGAATTACCCTACGTGAGTCTGCAATGATCTTTAATTAGACATAAAAGTATTAAAGCTTTACTTTGAAGATTTTTAGTAAAAATATATCAAGATTCTCTTCAATAATTGTAAAAAGAATTAAAAATTTCTTTTAGAAGAGATAAGGATTATAAGACAGTTACATTGCTAAAGAAGGTTAAAAAGATTATTTTTTAATTACTGATTATTTTAAGAAGAATATTTCAAATTATCTTTGTTTAATTTTGTTAAAATTAATTAAAATGTTTATGAAGCCAGTATAAGCTGACAAGTTAAAAGTGTTTTTCAAATAAAATATATATTAATCAATAGATACAATTTAAAGCGCAAACATTTCAACTCTTGTTCATTCTCAGTACAATAAGAATTACGAAAAAAACTGGTAACAATATCCAGTATGAGAATCAACCATGAAATTAGTTAAATTGTCACATCTCGTCCATAATTAAAATAACAAATCGGTTCTTAGTTGGAAAAACGCTTAAGCAGTGAAATCAAAGCTAAAATTATTAATGAAATGAGAACAAAAGTTAAAAAATTAAAAAATGAAAATAACTTACAGTTAATAGACGACTTGACAATATGACAGACATGGATTTAACATGTATACGGTTCAAGACGTAATGAACTTGTGAGAGTTAGCAAAGCAGTAACGCTATTTTCATAAGATATAAATAAATAAATAAGAAGGCATAGGAGGATCAAGATTTTTTAAATAGATCACAATATAACGGATCCGTTTTGTAAATTAAAGCCGTGTCTTAACAAAGCATTTGAACAAACATGTTTAATAGAAACAACGTTTATTAGAAACATGATACATTCTGTTATTACAGAACACAGAATTAATTCTATGCATGATTTCGACTGGGATAATATTAAAATTTTAGATAAAGAAAAAATTTTTAACAAAAGACTAATCTCTGAGATGATGTATGTATATAAATAAGCAAAAACACGGTCTTAATTTACAGAACGACACGGATCTGTCAGACCCGTTATATTGTGATCTATTTAAAAAATCTTGATGCTTCTATGTCTTTTTATTTATTTATTTATTTATTTATCTGTTTTTATCTTATGAAAATAGTATTATTGCCTCACTGAATCTCACAAGTCCATTACACGTTTTGAACCGTATACATGTTACATCCATATCTGTCATATTGTTAAGTCACTGTAATACCTTTTAACTGTATATTATTTTAATTTCTTGATTTTTTAACTTTTAACTTCTGTTCTCATTTTCCAACAAGAGTCGAAACGTTTGCGCTTTAAATTGCATCTATTGATTAATATATATTGAAACATTCAAAAACGTTCATCTTATGTCGACTTATAAATATACTGGCTTCACATTTATTATATTGATTTATATCATCTAAGTCTAAATTTATATTGAATTTTGTATATCAAAATTAATTTAAAATCTTAGAAAAAATCTTTTCCAGAAATCAGAAAAATAATTATATCAAATTTATTGTAATCCTTGTTTGTTCTAATTGCTTGAAATCAATCCATCAAAAACTCATGATAAATTAAAAATTAAGGACAATTTATTTTATATTTCATATTAAAATAGGATAGCTTCGCTAGATTGTGAGAGAAACATACTTAAATTTTAACGTTCACACGCTTTTATACTTTATGAAATCGGTAAGCTATGGTATAAAGAAGTTGTATACCGATTTTATAGCGCGTTTGATATCTGATAACGAATGATTGAGGAGGCACGATGAACGGGGCAGCGACAGTCACAGCCACCGAAGATCATCAACATCAACATCAGCAAGCGCAGAATGAAACGGCTTCGGAGCATCCACGGAGTCCCGCCAGTCCGCTAAGCGTTAGACACGGTGAGATAACACAAAAAATATATTTCAATTCTAAAGATATAATAGCACGCCTGTAGACATGTGAATATTTAATATATTTGTACGAAACTTTTGTGCGTAACGGTCAAACTAGATTAACTACGTTTTAACTTCTAAATAGTACTAACATCTTTAGTTTTTATAGCGTTTCCGCGTGTGTATAACGTAATGTCACACGCGCGTTTTAGCATGCAATAGCGTTTTCAATTCATGCGCGCATAAACGCATTGTACAAATATAACACAACTTATAGTTTTATTACTAAAAAAAACTACTAATATAACTTATAAATCTAATAATTTTATTTCTAACTCAGCACAGATTATAACTGCAATGTTGCAGGAATGTTATAACAGTCCAATTATGTTACAGAAATGTTACAGTATTACTGTAATGTAGCAATTATAATCTGTTTGCTGGGAAATAAAATTACTAATATAATATTTAAGTATAAGTAATATTTAAGTAAAGATTTGCGAAGACAAACCAAATTTTTACGTAATTGTTTTGCAATTCATGTTTATACATAAATTATTAATATTATTATTTATTATTGAACATTCTTTATTTAATCTCAATGATAGATATGATAACCTAAGTATAATATTGTATGATGCGTATCATATAATGTCCGTCTGTAATGGTTAAAATCTTTTAATTTCAACGCACCGTAGCGCATATCAAATAAACACATATTTAATTGGCAGGATACGTGGAAATGTGTTATAATGCATTTTAATGCACATCTCCATTTCAACATTTTCAACGCATACATGGAAATTAAAAATAAGAATAATTGTCAATAGTTAATAATAAAGCACGAAATAATATTGATTTTAATTGATTAAGACCGGATTCGAAAAATTACATGCAGAAGATATATATTCAAAAAAAAAACAACGGTGTATGTTTGAGGGAGAATCTTTTCAAATCTTAATCTTCTTACTGCTTTTAGAATTTTGACTATAAATCAGTAATAAGATATTAATTTCCTCAATATCGCCACATTTCTTTCGCGGCGTATAATGTAATGCGTAATGTAATGCGTAAACTTGCATCAACGTACGATTCTTCTCCCCCCACTCGCGCCGGGTCAGCCGAGATTTGATTATTCTAATGGCATAATGTCATTGCCTACGTGCTACCCTCTTTTTCCACTTATCCCATCCCACGATTGTAACTTGTATAAAAGTCCGTCGCGGGGGTGGATCTATGTGCATTCTGCTCGTCGCTTCCCATCGTCGGTTCTTAGCGACGGAAGCGCGAGATGATGTTTTTTTTGCTCATTTCTTTTCGCCAATTATTTCTTCAAAGTGTTACAATAATTATGATATTTTCTAATTTATCATAGATTGTCAATAAATCAAAATCACAGGTATACATTTTACCACAGTTTGGATTTTATTTCTAACATTAAGTGTCTCATCTAATCTAAAGTAAAATTGTCAATAAATCAAAATCACAGATATACATTTTACTACAGTTTGGATTTTATTTCTAACATTAAGTGTCTCATCTAATCTAAAGTAAAATAGAGAATTGTGATAAATTTTACTTAAAGAAAAATAAATAATATATTTTGTATGTATAGATCTATATAGATAATATGTGCGAGAACTAGGGAATGAATAATGTCGAAATAATTCTTGTTTTTTTTTTGTATAAGATGCTCAGAAGCAAAAAGTATATAAAATGCTTGTTAATGACCTTCAATCATTAAAACGGAGGATAATGCGAACAAATTACAGACGCATCAGTCAGTTACTTATTCTCTCATCGATAGATGCAATGCTTGCTTCAAAGCTGGAGGCTACCATTTTGAACAATACATTTAATAATTACATTTTGATTATTTTAAAGCAATAAAGAGGATAAATCTAGATTATTTCGTTATTCATTCCTATAGTTCTGCATCCTAAGAAGTCTCTTAAACGAAGAGTTTACGAGCAAGAAGAAATTTCCAGAGGAAAATTTTATTTGTTTTGAGATCCTAAATTCATATTTTAAATTTGACGGTTTAACTCGGAAACAGACTGTAAAATAATCGTCAATAATAATTTTACTTGTTTAACAGTTTTCAGAAATTACAAATATAATCCAATTCTTTCGTTTCTATCAAATTATGAATTTTTATCCAGCGTTATTTCTTTTGTATGTGCGAATGAATGTTCCAAAAGCTTTCTCAGTTATCAGTAAATTTTTTGTTTATTAACTTTTATGTTGTAAATTTAAACTTTAATTGTACTTTAAACTGTAGTTTGAATTTAAACAAACAGGAAATATACAGAGCTTTTGCTGATTATTATCTTCAATACAATTAACATATTGCATCTTACTGTATGTTTCATGGAGTCAACTTGTGCATTTGTTTATTAATAAACATTCGGAGAAAATAACTGTGTTTAATATTATATATTTGCCAACGTCAAATATTGTTAATATTATTTTGATACAAAATTTATTTTTTCTTTCTGGTATTTGGAAAACGAATACACATACAACTTTGGAACGGTAGCTGCTTTTTTTAGATCTTTTTTGTAAGAATCTGTTTTAAATCATATCAGCAATTTTGTTTAATACTATTTATAATATGTTTTTTTTTGGTAAAAAAAAATAAGTAGTAAAAGCATAAGAAATGCTCACTACCGTTGCAATCGTGATGCACTAACGATTAGCCGAAATTAGCAAAGATGTATCGAAAACGGGGAACAAACCTCTTTTTTTATCTCTCCAACTAACGCAACCCCTGGCCCCACTCACAATGACCCCCTTTTCCCGATGATCCCATAATACGAGGGCGCAGGTGGCGCCTTGCCATTCGCCAGCATTGATATGCTAATGAAATTTGACGCCCCTGCTTTTGCGTGCGTTACTCTCGGCGCGGGTGGCTTATAGCGGGTGTGTATTTTATATTGGGCCGTCATTTTTCTCTTCTCAGTTAACCCCGCGCAACCGACAGATTGCACTGCAACAAGATTTGATTAGCCTAATGCTGTAATTTGCGAGCGCACGTATGTATATGTGCGCGTATTTAAATATATGTATATATGTGTGTGTGTGTGTATTTAAATATATATATATATATATATATAAACCATTATACTTCATTTGAAAAACCATTATATTTCATTTTTGAAATATAATGGTTTTTCAATTATCTTTTATACTTAAATTATGTGATGCGCAAACCAAATATAAAAACCATAGTAATATTATCCGATTGTCACAGATTTGCAAATAAAAAGAATGAAAGTCATCATAAACAGATTATATCTCAACATTATCATCGAATAGATCCTTCGTTGTTCCGAAGATTGAATCAGAGTGTCAGAATACTCTAGTAATCGACAGGATTAGGGGGTATATGTTAACGAGATCGAAAAGCCTGTACGCTTATACAAAGTCACGTGAGTTGAATTAATAAGATTGATACCGGCCGACGTGATTTGATAACGATCGGAAGCGATGCGATTCGACAGTCGGATTGTCCGCAACGAACGTGTTAAAAAATAATGATAAGATTTAAATTTTCAAAAGGCCATTTTGAGAAGAAAAGAAAGAGTAACTCACAAAAAAATGGATTTTTTCGCCCGTTTTTTTAAGCCCTTAATTTTAAGACTGGACCGTGTACCAAATGGTACCTTATAATAAAATATTAATTACAGAGAAGTTTTAGGTTGAAGTGACAATTGTTATCACAGGAGGGGGGGGCGGGTCATTTATTATGTCTCTTTACGCGAAAACTCGATTTTTTTACATAAAAAACGAGCGTCATTTACGTAAAACTACGATCAATCTTTATTGACTGGATCAACCTTCTTAAAATATTGGACTTCGCAAATCTATAATAATTTCATAATAAACTTTGATTTCATCCCCTCCCTCTTTCAGCTATAACAATTGTCATCTAAACTTGAAACTTCTCTATAATTAATCTCATTATAAAGTATCATTTGGCACATGGTTCAGTCTCAAAATTGAGGACCCAAAAAACAGGCGATTTTTTGGATCACTCTTTTGGCAATGGATGGAGTTAGGATATCTCTTTTTCTGGCAGCAGTTACTGTATTCAATAGCTTCTGACGCCCTACGGGAATTTCTGTTCCTTCTTTACGTCCCCAAAGGCTTATCGGTGGATCGCGAAGACAAACAGCATTTACATCGGGAAATGAGATTGGAAAAAGCTCAGGAAGTAAGAGCGCTCGAATATAAATATTTATGTCGAATGAATAAAGGGGCGATTCCTCTAATACGCGCGTGTCGCGCAACACGCGTCGTCATGCAACCTGCTGCAGAATTATTTCTATCAAAATTTTCGGAACCTATCGCAATTTTTCCTCCATAAATATAATTCTATAATATAAACGATTTCTACAATATTTCTATAATATAAATCGGGAATCTTTATATATAACTGATGTGTCAAATACATTTCTCAAATATAATATCTTTGTTTACATTTCTCATATCTTTGTTTAGCATAAGTGTACACTTACAATTAGATTACGTTATTTTGTCGCCATTCAAATTTCTAAGTGCGATTACAATTTGTTTGCATATAAAAACTTTATTCGCGTATAATAGCTTATTTCAATTGAATTTACTTTCTTAAAAACGTGATTATAGTCTCTGAAAATTGACAGTAGAAAGTGCGACGGAGAAGTTGCGTTTCTCGGATGCTTGAAATGCAATGCATTGCCAATACGATAAACAGATTTCAGCGGAAAAGTCGCGTGTGCTATGGCAACGAACATCTGCGTGATCAACGAAATGCGATTTCGCTTCTCTGCTTGGCTCGACTTTATTAGTCACGCCGGTATCCTCAGTGAGGCGCGAGATCTCACCGGAATCGTATTTGTCGGCTGTCCCCGAACTCGATCAAAAACTCGTTTCGGCCTCGTTAATACCGCGGGGTCAGATAAAATCCGTTCGAGAATTACCATGCGAATTGACAACGGGATGGTGTCAAGATAGCGTCTGCG